CTGACTTCAAAGTCTTAAGAGGTTTTCCTCCTACAGATACCATTTTCTGCACACAGTAAACGTTCAACAAATACTCTTCTGATTGTAACAAAATTGATTTCTTCATAGCCACTTCCTCTCCTTTATTTCCTGCATATTCTTTGGACTTAAGTAGGAGGAATGTCGTCAGGGCATCACATAGCCTCACAACTGATGGAAACTCTTTGCCAGCCACCATCCTGGACTATCCCTTTCTCAATCTGCATGCAGATCCATTGGGGAATGTTGGCCACACCTTTGCTGGGCTACACATTTCAACAGTTCAGAAGCATCCTGTGTTTTTTTTCATTTTCAACCCCAAATCACATCTTATCCTGTGAAATGGCTTCCTTTAGTCCAGGAGTGCTCTGAAACCCACATTCCCCACCCACCACCTTCCACCCATGACTGCCACCAGCAGTCTTCCGCTCTTCCTTTTTAAGCAAGGGCTCTGAACTCACAAGTTCCTCGACGACTCCTTGTAACTGTGTTCTCACAGGTATCTTGTTATTTGGCTTCAATAATGATAGGATTCAAAAAGTAATTGTTTCTAAGAATAAAACCATAAGTTTTTCAATAAAATTGCTACAGACTCAATGTTTGTGTCCACCCACCTCCAAATTCACATGTTGATATCCTGACCACTCCTCACTACGGGATGCGATGGGATGGGTGTACTTGGGAGATGAGTAGGTCATGAGGGTGGAGAGCTCATGAATGGGATTAGTGCCCTTATAAAAGGGACGCCAGAGAGCTCCCTCACCCTTTTGCCTCACGAGGACACAGCCAGGAGACTGCCGTCTGCAGACCAGGGAGCCAGCCTTCACCAGACAGGTACTCTGAGGCACTTTGATCTTGGTCTTCCCAGCTTCTAGGACCATGAGAAATAGATTCTTCTTCTAAGCCACCTGCTCTATGGTATCTTGTTACACCAGCCCCACCTAATACAAAGATCAAGGAGACAACCCTTTTCATACCAAGAAAGGGAAATTTTCTTTTACCAAGATACAAGTTATACTTTCCACCTGTACGATGGTTATTTGGGTTTCCAAATCCCATATCTCCTTATAATTTCCTTTGGCAGGGAAGTTATTTCATTCTCCTCCATTTCCACCCACTTCCCTTTCCTTTCACTCCACCCAAACAGGTCCTTTAAATATCTTCCTTTCTGCTCACGTATTATCTATACTCATCACTCTTGGGCCTGATTTCCTCTCCTTTCTGCACCACTTTGGACCAACTAGTACACTGGGGGTTCTGTCATCCCTGCCAGCAGGCTGATCACCATGTGGCTTTTCCTCTTTCCATAATTTTTCCCCAAACAGCTTCTCCAAGCCACGTGCAAGGAGCCACTTATTATCCACACGGCTCCAATGCTACAGGAAGCATTTCAAATGTGGCAACGGGCTGTCAATCATCCTACCACCTTTAATGTTTCTACATGTCTCGTTTCATTGCACTGCTTGGCACTTTTCTGACCAACATCTTCTTAGACACACGGGAGCCCCCTTTGCTCATGAAACTACCATTCTCGTTTAGTCGCTAGGTTGGGTCTGAGTCTTTGTGACCCCATGGACTGTAGCCTGCCAGGCTCCCCCATCCATGGATTTTCCAGGCGAGAATACTAGAGTGGGTTGTCATTTCCTCTCCAGGAGATCTTCCCAACCCAGGGATTGAACCCAGGTCTACTGCACTGTAGGCAGATGCTTTACCATCTGAGCCGCCAGGGAAGTCCTAGGAGTGTTTAGATGATTCCTTCAGAGGGTTTTCCCCTAAGATTTCACGCATGTAAGCTTGCTACTGTTGTTCAACTTTCTAACCAGTGCCATTTCAGACCACTCTTTGGTTCTCAGCCACTAACTTTCTGCCATGTGCGTATCTCACCTGGGTGTCACCCAGGAGGCTGTACCGCTCTTGTGGGCTGTGCTCACTGTCTTTGCCTGAATCATGCCCCACATCCACCCGGTACCTCAAAGAACTTCCCTCTTTTCCCTGCGGTAGTGCCTGCAAACTCTGGTTTCTGCACATCAGACAACTCTCTTTGGGTCTCCCCTTTTGAGATCTCGTCCCTATCTTTCTCTTCTTCATTAATATTTTCTGTTCCTATTGGCAATTTTCCCTTGTAATCTGGAGCTCTTTTTTATTTATGAATCCATTACTAAATGATAAACTTTGCCAAGTATAAATAACTCAGAGTTTTTTAAGGCTTGATTTGAAAAGAACTGAACATGTGAATCTGTTCAAGGAACAAACAGGAGGCAAAACCATCCCATGTGCATTACACACCTCATTGTACAACACAGCCAAACCTCCAGACACAACAAAAATGCACATGCGAGGTGCCCCTCACCCAGCAATGATGGACCACAAGGTTCATGTTAAAGGTCAAAAGTGAAACGCCTTCAGGAGTTCCCTCAAAATCTTAAAATAAAAGTCGCATTCCAAACTTCACAATTCTCATGAATGCATCACAAAGTCACCATTATGCTATTGAAAAGGAAGACAATTAAGTGCTTGTATTACAGGGGAAATATTCCAAAAATGAATTATATAGTAAATTCAAGAATCTCCCGTTTCTTGCTCACAAATAACGAGTTTGTTTTGGCTTATTACCTTCCGTGGCATGGTCTTGACACATCGCACCTCTGTAGGCAGAGACCCATCCCAGTCCTACATCTGCAGAACTAAATTTGGTGTGTTGACTTTTTTAAAAAGTTGCTTCTCAAAATGCCCTTCCCAATTATCCTAGTGGACCTTCCCCATTCCTGTCCTGTTCTGAGAATGTGGAATCATGTCCCTAGAGGTGAATTCCCTTCCTTTTTAAGATATAAAGCATATCTCATAGTCTTTTCTTTAAAATATATATATATACTTTATAAAATATATCCAAATATCCAGCTGAAGATCTTGCTGTCTTATATTCTCTCTCTGCCCAATATAATTATCTATTTAGATTACTATATTAAACTTGGTTTGCTTTAGGAATGACCCAATTATTTTGGACCAGCGAAAAAGAAGGGCTTTGTCTTCCACCCCAACTACCTATCCCATTTTTTAACCACTTGGATGTAAAAACAAGTCTCCAGCTCCGAACTTTTCCAGTCAACAGAACATCCCTCAGCCGGGGACCTCGCCAACCTCTCTGACACCATCGAGTGGCCCACCAAACATGGAAGCTGCTCTCCATGGAGCCCGTCTCCTGGGATAACAGCTGTGAGAGGCAGCATTTTTATATAATGACAAGACTGAGGCAGGGTTACCCCCGTCTCTGCATCTGGAAGCACTATCTCTGCAAACAAAACGTGAGAACCGCAAATGTGGAGCATTTTTCAACCTTCCAAAAAGAACTCTGTGCTCCTTAAAGCATAGTTTATGACATTATTTCAAAATGTTTTATTAACATTAGTTAATCCTTCAGCCCTCTGAGACTGACGGAAGGAAACGCCAGGTTAGCAAGAGGCTGAAAACAAGCAGATTATTCAGAAACGGTGAGGAAGGAAAAGAGTCAGTGCTTATCTGCTGTGATGCTGAAAGTAAGGCATCAAAAATAGAAGAAGGCTGCTATTTCTAACAGGTGGGTTCATATAGAAACTCAATTTCATCAAAAAAAAATCTATAAACTAGTCAAGAACACTAAAAAGTCTAGACTTGGGTGAGTCCAAATCACAGTGTTCTCCATCAGATAGTGAAGGGGGACACGCAAACCTCTCCCAACCAGGACACGCGGTTACTAATTTCGGCCAAAGAACTTCTGTAGAGTGAGGGGCTCTTCTCACCGTCTCACGTTGCAGCCATTTACCACCTGGCCAGGAGCGGCCTTTCCCATCACGTGCTGGCACGCAGCCCTCTGTTCCCTCCATCTGCCTTACAGGCAGCCAGCGAGGCTTGAGGACGCCTCTCTCCCACTGAGTATGAGCTTTCCAGCTCACGCCCCGCATCCTGAGTCTTTGTGACAGCATCTCCCTGCGCCCCATCCATGCCCACCACGCTGTGCTCTTCCCCAACGCAAGTCCGCCAGGTCAGCAGCGGCGAGCAGGTATCATCTCACGCTGTGCCAGGGCAGGGCAGCTGCTATTAACACTGCCAGTGCTGCATCTACAGACACCGCTGCTGCCAGGCCTGCTGGAACTGAGACTGTATCTACTAGACGACTACGCCTGCAGATACTGATCCATCTACTAACACAACCAGTACATGCACATGCTGCATCTACGGACACCGCTGCTGCCAGGCCTGCTGGAACTGAAAGCGTATCTACTAGACGACTGCTACGCCTGCAGATACTGATCCATCTACTAACACAACCAGTACATGCACATGCTGCTGATACTGTGCCTACTGATACTAATAGTACCTTTACTAATACTACTAACACATCTAATACTACTAACACATCGACCAACACTATTAACACATCTAAAACCACTAACATCTCTACTAATACTACTAACCCATCTACCAATACTACTAACACATCTAATACTACTAACACCTCTACTAATACTACTAACCCATCTACCAATACTACTAACACATCTAATACTACTAACACCTCTACTAATACTACTAACCCATCTACCAACACTCCTAACACAACTACCAATACTACTAACACCTCTAATACTACTGACACCTCTACCAACACTCCTAACACATCCACCAATACTACCAACACCTCTACTGACACGGCCGCCACCTCGGCAGATGCTGACACATCTACTAATGCAGCCACAGACACCACTGTTGCTGCCGCTACACCTGCAGATCTAACAGCACCTCTACTAACGCTGCCGCTGCACCCGCTGACACTACCCGTGCCCCCACTAACACCACCACTATTACCACATCAACAGATGCTGCCACTCTGCCTGCTGACCTAATAGTACTAACACCTCTGGTAATACTACGAACACATCCACTGATCGACTGCCACCTCGGCAGATACCGACACATCTACTAATCCATCTGCAGACCCCACTGACCTGCTGTCACTACCGATACACCTGTATATGCTGCCGCTGCTCCTGCACCCGGGAACACCGCTACGACCATCGCTGACACCCCCACTAAAACCACTGCTGCGGCCAGCGCCGCGCCTGTTCGCACTCCTAACACTGCTGCCGTTCAGTCGTTCAGCCGCGTCCGACTCTGCGGCCCCGTGGACGGCGGCACGCCAGGCGTCCCCGTCCTCCGCTGTCTCCGGAGTTTGCTCAAACGATGTCCGTTGAGTCTCTTAACAGCAACAGCCCACCTGCTACTCCCGCTGTTGCTGCTACCACGACGACACCGCCCAGCACATCCGCCGAGACTCCCGCCGCCACAGCCCCCACAGCCCCACTAAAGAGCACAGAGCTCCCACCCGACGGGCACGGCCCTGCCCGGTCTGTGTCAGGCCTCCCGTGACGGGATCCGGACGCCCACCGCACAGATGGCAAAGGGCCAACGCTGACCCCAGCACGCGCAAGCGCGAGCCGGAGAGGCCGCGGGAGGAGGCAGAGGCCGCGACACGAACGCCCCAAGGACAGATGCCCACAGGGCAGGGAGGCTGCGAGAGCGAAGGTGACGCGGACCCAGGCCACGTCTGCACACGCAGGCCGAGATGGCCGGGCGCCGCGAGAGACGGGGCGGGACGCTGCTTCACGCTCAGGCGGTGCTCACGCCGGGGCTGCTGGCAGGGGCTGCAGGGCACGCCTGGGGGTCTTGGGGGGGTGAAGAAACAAGGGCGCCTGGAAGGCTGACACCAGGAGTCAGCCCCAGACAGCAGGGGGCCTGCCCCGTGGGTGGAGACGCGGGGAGTTCAGGGCCAAGGCGGCCGGGACTGGGCATGCGAGGCGGCCAGGGGTCATCTCGGGACACGCATCCTGAGCAAGGCAGCGGGGGGGCGGGAGCAGGCCCCAGAGAGACCAGGCTGCTGCCGTGAGACAGAAAAGGGGTCCAAGCCAGCTGGCGGGGACGCCCGGCAGATGTCCACGGGGACGGGACCTTGAGGGACAGGTCAGCAGCCGATGACCCCTCGGGGGCCCTGCAGCTGGCTGGCGCTCTGCTCCCAGGCTCACACACAGCCTCTGCCCTCAGGACCTGCACCCCGTCCATGTCGCGGGGGAAGGACAGACAGACAAGCCCCAGGAAACTAGGTGCTGGGTGGGCATAGCTGGACCCCAGCCTGGCCCAGGGCCGGCCCTGCAGCAACCTCTCGGATGTCCCGCCTTGATCAGGTCTCCCTGCGGCGAGCACTGAGCGCCTCCTGCTGCCTCGGAAGCCCCGGGAGCCGACCCCAGCCCCCCCATGGCCGCGTCCCACCGGCCCTGCCTCCAGGAAGAAGCCCACTCGGCGTTCTGCATTAGCTCAAATCTCTCCTTCCAAACAGGGTTGGAAACGACTCAAAACTCCAGAAAATTCAGGAGTGGCGTTTGGAAAACTGCAGGCAGAGGGCGGGGGAAGGCAAGGCATGCTGCGGGGCTGTGACCCCCGCCCCTGGGGCCGCCCACCTGGGGAGAGTCTGGCACCCCCCAGCCCACCCCTGACATCAAGGGAGGGTGGGGGTGCTTCCAAGGCCGAGGAAGGGGCGTTGGGCGCACAGAGGCGTCCTGACAAAACGTCTACAGGGGAAGAAGGCTCTCGTTTGTTCTCGTCCACCTTTGGACCACAGGAACAGCTCCTCCAGGCTCGGGACAACTCAGCTACAAGGCGGACGACACGTGTCCCCACCGGGCCCCAAGGCCAGCAGGCTGGAGACCGAGTCCACACAGTCAGGGGCAGCTGCAGCCTGGATCCCCACCAGCCGGGGTCCACAGAGGAGCCAGTCCCAGGAATACCTTGCCTGCCTGGGTGCCCCCCGCCCCGTTTCCTCTCCAAACAAGAATGCCCCCTGGAGCCCAGGCTCCCTTTTTTCCCACTGAGCCCGGAACAAATGGGGTTTATGTTGGGATTCCCATTGCGCATGCGGAACTTTCCTCCAGAGGCCAGAGGCCACTGTGTCCAGAAGGGAGTCCAGGTGTCCTTGGGAGCCGCCCCAAGGGGGCCTCCCACGGAGCGCGGCTGGCTGGAGTTCAAGGATGCGACCTTGGGAACCAAAGGCACCTCCCCATCAGGGGGCTTCCGAGCTGTCTGCTTGGAGGAAGTGCAGACAGAGCTCCCCGCAGCTGCTGCCCAGAGAGACACTTCCTCTCGGGGATGAATGGGGGAGCTACAGCACCTGCAGCCCAGGAAGCGCCAACCGTTTCCAGACTCAGGAGGGAGCTGCTAAGGACTCAGGGAGCCTGCGTGCCGCCCTGGGCAAACTAGACCTGCCCCCCCGGGTTCACAGTGCTGGCCACACAGGAGGATGCGCCTCACACTCAGGCCTGCTGCCACTTAGGGAAGAAGGCACGGGTTAAGAGATGTGCGGACTTTTATCTCTATAACCAAAATCTGTTTAAAGATTATCTAACCACAGGGAGAGTGTCTGACAGACAGAACTGTCCTCACTTCACTGTGCCAACTTTTATTACGGGGGGTGTATGTGTGTGTTCTCTGCACAGTCAAAAACTAGAAATCGTGACAATGTGAGTTAATTTGATATTTTGTCGTTCACTCGCTAATTTGTGTCCGACTCTGCAACCCCATGGACTGCAGCATGCCAGGCTTCCCTGTCTTTCACTATCTCCCGGAGTTTGCGCCAACTCATGTCCATTGAGTCATGACGCCATCCAACCATCTCAGCCTCTGTCACCCCTTTCTCCTCTTGCCTCTGATATAGTTGGAAAGAAAATGAAGATGCATCTAAATTCAGAATTGCGTGGAGAATACACACAGCCACTCCTCAGAGCTAAATACTAACACCCTGCTCCTTCTAGGTGGAAAATTCTAGAAGCAAAAGAAGAGATGCACACGATGCCACAGGCTGTCCTCCATGGGGCCCACCCATCACAGACCACCTCTTCTCTCCAAATCTCCCCTCTTCTCCTACAAGAGGCAGTGTGTGCTTACATGCATCCATATGTGTACACGTGGGCACATCACAAGCTCAGACACCAGGACGGACCAGCTGTGTCCAGAGGGAACTGGGTCCGTGCAGCTGAAGCTTTAACATGAGAGATGACTGCACTGTTTAACTTTTACGTCCAAGACACAATTACTTTCCTGCTTTCCCAGCTTCATCAGGGCATCTAATGACCCATGAGATGTTTATATTACACTAGAGTTTCCCTTAAAAGGCCAGGACATTCTTTACAGGCTCCCCAGGCCGCCTGGCTCCTCCGGCTCCCAGGGCTCCAGCTTCACCCCCAAACTGCACACCCCCACTCTCTGCATGTTCGCTTTCCAACCAGGGCCGCGGCCGCCTCTGCAGGCTTTGTGCTCCCCCCCACCCCGCTGCAGCACCGTCTCCTGGACACCCTCCCCCCAGCGCTCGATCCCTTCCACGCTTTGGGACCCAGCGCCCTCCCCTCCACGGGGCACCCAGCCCCCTCCAGCCTGCTTCATTCCGCCTGTGACCCCGGGCCGCTTTCTGGCCTCCATCAGGGCTGGTCCGTGAACAATGGGAGGGGTCACCAGGCTTCCCCAGAGCTCACGGTCTCCACGCTTCCCTAGGGTCGGGCCTCCAAGCTGCGAGGCAAGAACAGAAGCGGGTGGATCTGGGGGGGGCCGTCTCCACAAGGAGCACACACCGAGAAGTTTAGGGCCATGCTGACCTTTCTCGCAGGATGAGGTCAAGCCCATCTGCCCAAGAATCCGGGTGGCAGCCCCTCCTGACCCTGAAATTATGCCTCAGCAAATACCATGTGATACCACTTATAGATGCACTCTAAAATACAACCTAAGTGAACTTATTTGTGAGACAGAAACAGACCCACAGACACAGAAGACAATCTTAGGGTTGCAAAGGGGAAAGAAGGGAGGGACAGATTAGGAGGCGGGGTTAACATACGCACACCACGGTCTATAAAGGCGCGAGGGCCACTGCACAGCTCAGAGAATCCGACTCAAACGGTGTAGTGAACCATGATGGGGAAGAACGTGAAAAAGAATGTGTGTGTACGCACATATGTATGTGTGTGTGTGTGCATGTGTGTGTGTCTGTGTGTGTATATGTGTGTATGCGTGTATATGTGTGTTTATGTGTGTGTGTATGTATGTGTGTGTATCTGTGCATGTGTATGTGTGTGTATAAGTGTGTATATGTGTGTGAATGTGTGTGTGTCTGTGTATATGTGTATGTGTGTACGTGTGTATACGTGTGTGTGTATGTGTGTACGTGTGTATATATGTGTGTATGTGTGTGTATCTATGTGTGTGTACGTGTGTGTGTGTGTATGTGTGTGTATGTGTGTATGGGTGTATATGTGTGTGTATATGTGTCTGTATCTGTGTATATGTGTGTATCTGTGTATATGTGTGTGCATGCATGTGTGTATGTGTGTATATGTATGTGTGTGCATATGTATGTGTGTATGTGTGTATATGTGTGTACGTGTGTATACGTGTGTGTGTGTATGTGTATACGTGTGTATATGTGTGTGTATGTGTGTGTATCATGTACGTGTGTAAGTGTGTGTGTGTGTGTGTGTGTGTGTAACTAAATCGCTTTGCTATACACCAGAAACTAACACGACACTGTAAATCAACTCTACTTCACAAAAAGAGAGGTGATGTCCCCGAACCCTGCCTTCATGTCTTTTCTCCCAGGACAGCTTCACTGACGCCAAGTAGCAGAGAAAAGCAGTGAAAACCAGCTCGTCTCTTCGACTATCTCCGCATTTTACATCCAAATCTCCCAAATTTTTGATATCATCCTTTAAATCCTTCAGCACATCTCAGCCCCAAAGAATGCACTTTGTTCCTCAAGATAAGGTGGGAAGCGTTAACCACGTAATCCCCTCAGCACCAGACTATTTGCACAACTCATCTGTCATATCAGGACGCTGCCAGAGTGAATGGGAATGCCGCTAATGATTAATGATCAGGCTGAGGTCACAGGCCTGGGCTGGCTGGCACCCTGCACACCCCATCCTCTGCCCCACGTGGCTGATGGGAAAAGCTAGACTTTGTGGGTCTCCATATCCTGCACCCCCAAAGCAGGCACCCACAGTAAGAGGGCTTTCAGGAAGCGGGCGGTACCTCCTGGGGCATACGGCTCCCCGAGAGTCCTCCTCCGCACGCCTGACGAGCCTGGGCTCCGTCACATATGCTGAGAAAGGGTCTCTTTTCTACGCTTCCAAAACTCTCAACTGGATTCTTGGGGTTACCCCACCTCTGCCATCTGTAGATGAACAGATTCTAGATGCATCTCTGAAACTCAACTGTTCCCGCACGGCCTTGGCAATCAACGAGGCAATCAGCAGTCACGGGCTGGATGTCCCAACCCCATAACGATGCTGCCTCTGCCCAGGAGGCCGAGAGGCGCAGGGAAACCAAGACGCAGCTGAGGACACGAGATCTGCACACCGCAGAGGCCGTGAGTGGTCCCAGGAAACGAGAGAGAAACGCCACACGTCCGATCTCAACAATGAGATGCATGCTCGCCAAAGCCGTCCTCCCTGGCCAGCTCTCCCACCCGCCTCAGAAGTGCCTGCATCCTGCCTGCTCCTCACGGCCAGTTCGTTGGAGACAGTGTTGAACTGAGCGCTACTCATATCCACTGTCAGATTCAGGCCTTCCTCTTCGATAAATCGTGTTCAACAGACCTGACTATAACAACCTACTAGCCAATCCCCCAGACTTCCCAGGCGGTTCAGTGATAAAGAACCCGCCTGCCAGGCAGGAGACGCGGGTTCCATGCCTGGGTCGGGAAGATGCCCTGGAGGAGGGCACGGCAGCTGCTCCAGGGTCTGTGCCTGGAGTAGATGAACAGATTCTAGATGCATCTCTGAAACTCAACTGTTCCCGCACGGCCTTGGCAATCAACGAGGCAATCAGCAGTCACGGGCTGGATGTCCCAACCCCATAACGATGCTGCCTCTGCCCAGGAGGCCGAGAGGCGCAGGGAAACCAAGACGCAGCTGAGGACACGAGATCTGCACACCGCAGAGGCCGTGAGTGGTCCCAGGAAACGAGAGAGAAACGCCACACGTCCGATCTCAACAATGAGATGCATGCTCGCCAAAGCCGTCCTCCCTGGCCAGCTCTCCCACCCGCCTCAGAAGTGCCTGCATCCTGCCTGCTCCTCACGGCCAGTTCGTTGGAGACAGTGTTGAACTGAGCACTACTCATATCCACTGTCAGATTCAGGCCTTCCTCTTCGATAAATCGTGTTCAACAGACCTGACTATAACAACCTACTAGCCAATCCCCCAGACTTCCCAGGCGGTTCAGTGATAAAGAACCCGCCTGCCAGGCAGGAGACGCGGGTTCCATGCCTGGGTCGGGAAGATGCCCTGGAGGAGGGCACGGCAGCTGCTCCAGGGTCTGTGCCTGGAGGACCCACAGACAGAGAAGCCTGAAGGCCTACAGGCCACGGGGTCGCAAAGAGTCGGACACGGGTCAGTGATTGGTCAACCACCACCAAATCCCCCTAGACCGTACCTATGGAAAATGTCTCTCGGAGAGTCTGAAACATGCTCCGAGCACTGCCTCCTTAAAAAGGCTCTGTGCACAGACAAGCTTACGGTGGCCAAGGGGGAAGGGGTCAGTTGGAAGCTTGGGATTGACAGGACACCCTGTGTGCATGCGCGCTGAGTCGCTTCAGTCATGTCCGACTCTTTGCAACCCTGTGGACTATACAGCCTGCAGGCTACTCTGCTCTAGTGTGGCAGATACGGCTTGAACATGTTACTGTGACACTAGACATACTGGAAACTTCAGCTGACCTCACCTACTCTCCACTTTAAGAAGAGAATTGCCAACTAAGAGTTAAGCCTTTTAAGGTCATTTCTATAATTAGTCCCCACCAAAAGGACTCGGTAACATCATACATTTCATCAGAGATTTTTTACATTAACAGCTTTTCACAGCAGCAAGATATATGGGATGTGGCCTGCCACTGTCTTAAGTCGGATGGCTGATACATCTTACCCAGAACTTTGACCTATGTTTTCTTTCTAAGGCCACTCAATATTTTCCCACAAACAGTCTTCATGTTTCTGATTCATTGGTCCCTAAGTCACAAATTAGATGGGTTTTGCCCAGGAAATCTGGAAAACTTTGGTCCCTGGAACAAGACTTGAATTCTGCCAAACAGCGTAACTCAAGGGAAAAGGGCTCAGGGGCCAGCTGTGACCAGATCTCCTCCAGCTTCAAGAAGGTGCTGAGTCAGAGGACACCCGCCCTCCTCTCTGGGTGCTGTTTCGCCGTCTGTCCCCCCGGGGTTTCCATACGCAAAAGGGTGACATGACCTCTGCACCCTCTGAGCTGGAGGCCCCCGGAGTGCGGCCCTGCTGGTTACAAAACCACCCCCTCCCGACGGCTGGCCTCTAGTGTCTCCACGCTGGGGCCCACCACCGTGCCACCCAGCAGTGCAAAGTAAGGCAAAGGACCACAGTCTTGCATCATCACTGCTGGGACGCACGCCATTCTCGCTCAAGTGCCTGGGAGCCAAGAACACTGGAGAAACCCACGTGCTTTTTGATGTCCATTCCTACATCTGGTATTTCCTCATCTGATGCCTTTGTCCACCCTAAATCCAAGTTGTTTTCCCATACCCAGCTTTTGTAATTTCCAGGGCAGAGAGGAAAACCCAGCTAATTCATTTCCCACCCGAGAGAGATTTCAAAATTTCTAATCTCTAAATAAATGGAATAACCCTGAATGTTTGCTAGTCTCATGAATTTACTTTAGAGACACAAAATAAGCAATATTTCCTATAAGAAAATTTAATTCTTTTCTTCATTTTTTGTAATTATTTTAACAAAGTCGAATTTCTGAGGCTGAGCCATTCCTAAAACTGCCAAGAGAGACAGCTTTTAAAATAATTTCTAGTTCAGCATGATTAAAGGCCAAAATTGCTTTATTAATGCCATACACAACCTTTGAGGGTAGGAATATTTGTCTGCTTCTTGCTCCACATCCTGGGTGTACAATAAATATTAATTGTGAGTAAATGTACAATGAATACCTTTAATTACATTGACACATGCAGAATGTGTATGGTGTACATGTCGCTAATATACGTGTTTTGTTTCTGTTTAGTCGCTCAGTCGTGTCTGACTCTTCGTGACCCCATGGACTGAAGCCCGCCAGCCTCCTCTGTCCGTGGGATTCTCCAGGCAAGAGTACTGGAGTGGGTTGCCATTTCCTCCTCCGGGGGATCTTCCCGACCCAGGGAGCAAACCCGGGTCTCCTGCAGGTGAATTCTTTACTACTGCACCCCCCAGGAAGCCCATATGCATTATATACATACATATATATATATATATAGGCTATGCCAAGTGGCTTGCAAGATCTTAGTTCCCCAACAAGAGATCAAAACAGCACCCCCAGCAGTGCAAGTCTAGGACTAGAAGAGTCCTAACCAGTGGACAACCAGGGATTCCCTGCTTGCATATTTTTTGACCCAGAGTGACTGCTCAACATTCACTTACTGAATGCAATTCCAAATTATTTTGAATGTCTTAAGCAAGATACTGAGCTCAGAACAGATTAATTTGTGTCTGTGCTTAGGTGAATTCTTAGCCTTGCTTATTTTCACTGATGTGAAGAAAGAAAAAGCACTTTGATTTCAAATTTGGTGGACAACCACCACCAAATCCCCCTAGATTAACTTAACCACACAAAGTTATGTGTCTCATATGTGTTTTCCAGTCAAGAAAAAAACACACATTTCTATAATATGTTAGTGAATGATAACTTCCATGAGAGAAGAGAAAAATCTAAGGCCGACAGGAAATAATAAAAAATTACTGATCACAGAAATTTTTTAAAGGTTTAAAAGCCTGAATTCCAAGAATAAAGAAATACAATTTCATTATTTCCAAGTACTTAGGAAAACACATTTTAACTATTACTAAGGCATCCAGAAGCTATTTGCTCAAAGCTGCTTTAACAAACTGATAAGAAGCATCTGCTGCCCGCGTAATGTTTACACGCACAAGTATTTGTTAAAGATAAGGGGTGAATGCAGGATGAATCGAGCAGATTGCAGCTCGTCCTGTGTGGTCAGGAGTGCGTCACCCCAGCGTATCAGCGACGGGGGCTGGCTGGGGACCGCTCTGTGTACTCACCCGAAACCCACGGGCCCAGGGCTGCACCGCCCAAGCTGCAGCATTTTCCCCCCCACCACGAGCCCATCTTCCTGCTTTGGCAAGTTCATCTTAATTTTACAGGCCATTTCCTGACCAAAAATGACGAGTTATCTTAAACCACTAACCCCAAGTGGTCTGAATTTCCTGGAAGTGGATTCGGCCGTAAAAAGACAGAGAACAGAAATTCCCCGTTCAGGGGCCAAGCCTCGGAGGAGGTGGTGGGTGAGGCGGGCGTGACAAGAAGATGAAGTCACACCCAAGGATTCCTGCCCACGCTGGCAGTCCTGGCTTGGGCAGCCTCTGAGCAAACTCTGAGCCCACCGTCAGCAGACGGGAAAGTGAGAACGGAACCGTAAAGATGGGAAAACTCGGATAAACCGTGGATCAACACGAAATACCGGGCACCGTGTCCCCACGTCCCACCGCCAAGCCCTCTCCAGCATCCTAACACCCCACATGCCTGCATCGGGGCCTTCCCGCTCCCCCAACGGCACCACGGGGCTGGACTGCCAGCAGTAACCACAGCCAACGAGAAGAGGGGTCGTCAGAATCGGAGGATAGCTGCAGCGGCTCAGCACCCACTTGAGCACAAACCACTGCCCAGAAGAGCATGTCTGCAACGCACCTCCATCCCGGGGCTGCCCGCGGGAGTGAGGGGAAGGGGTGAGGTCCGTGGTCCCCAGGACCGCAGCATCGCCACTGCCCACTGGAAACGCGATTCTTGGGTGCACCCACACCCTGTTCGGCCCTATAATGGACCTTGTCCATTCGAAGTAATCATGATTATAATAATACCACCTTAACGCAAGTTTTAATGCAGGTATAGTGGGGACCTAAGTTGCACACAACTCCGTAATAACTCCATGACATTAAAGTTATATTCTTTAAAATAAAATGCAACTCAAAAACTAAAGCTAATTAAGAAAACGAGTTGCTTATGTTTAAAAAAATGAC